AGAGAGAGAGAGAGAGAGAGAGAGAGAGAGAGAGAGAGAGAGAGAGAGAGAGATTCATATTTAGCATTTTTTATGGGCAACTCAAATGTTGATTAGAAAAACCAACAGAGCAAAACCCAATCTCCTTGGCATTTATTTCATGGGTTGCACATGCTCTCTTTAAATTAAATATGGGCTTCAGAACAAGGGCGGAGAAGCACAGGGCTTTCAGTGTCAAGACCTCTGAAGGGCTGCAGTTCGTGCCCTGTGCACATTTACAATCCATCTCTTAATATTCACCTACTTTGTTTTACACCAAACTGGATTTAAATTTTAAAATGCACCCTCTTGGATTCTTGTGAAGTTGACTGAGAGTTAATTAGAACTTTCGAATTAAAACTATACAATCAATGGGCAGGGGTAGCATACCCCTTTAATCCCAGCACTTGGGAGGCAGAGGCAGGGGGAGCTCTGAGTTTGAGGCCAGCCTGGTGTACAAAGTGAGTTTCAGGACAGCCAGGGCTGTTACACAGAGAAACCTGTCTCGAAACAAAACAAAACAAAACAACCTGGACAATCAAATGTATCCTCTAGGCCTGACATTTATACAAATTCTAGTTTTCACACCATCATGCTAACTCTATTTGAGTTTGGTGTACAGAACTTGGTGCATATAAAAAAGCCTTTTAGCATCCACAGGAATAAAAAAAAAAAAAAAAAAAAAAAAAAAAAAAAAAAAAAAACCCAAAAAGCAAAGCTCAAACCAGGAGTCTGAATATGCACACCAAGATGTAGTGAATTTTGATGTGGCTTTAGGGGAGGGGGGTAGCACCATCGGATTGTGTTATCAATTTGTTGTTAAAATCCCATTAGAGTTTTATTATGGTGGCTGTATTGTATTAAAACCTGGATTTTATTTCCAGAGACCTACAAGGATTGTCAGACACGAACTGACAATCCAGGCAATGGTGGAGAGGATAACCTAAATGCCCTTCCCCTAAAATGAGATTGATGACTACTCTTTATGCCATCCTAGAGCCCTCATCCAGTGGCTGATGGAAGCAGAGGCAGACATCCACAGATATACACTGAACTGAACTCTGGAACTTAGTTGCAGAGAGGGAGGAATGGAGATCTAAGGGGTCGGTACCAGGCTGGTGAAATCCACAGAAACAGCTGGCCTGAACAAGGCCAGTTGCTGTCTAGGAGGCCAGTACAGGACTGATCTAGACCCCTGAACATGGATGTCAATAAGGAGGCC